TTTGTTATCCAGCTGGAAGCAAGGATGACTAGTCATATGAGAAACGGATGACTAGTCATCATTTTATGAAGACTGTTTAATGTAATGATATGCAATGCTCAATACCTTTGTTAACTTGCATGAGCTACCATAGAGCAAAGATTAGAGAAGAGCACCAATAAAAGTTTTCCCTAATCTAGACTTGAGCTTGATAAATTACATTACACATCCTATTACAAAGTTGTCAAGGGAAGCCAAAAGAAAATAGTAAAAACCATACATTAACAAAAGTCTTCCAAGATCCCCGATGGATGAGTGAACCTCAGACAAACTTGCACAATATTGCAATATCAATTCCTCGAGATTTGGGAGTTTTGAAATGTCTGGTGATTTTGTTAGCCAAGAGGAATAACTGAGATTAAGGATTTTCAAATTCTGATGCAACTGTTACACAAAAACAAAATTAGAATGGAAATTAAAATCCAAAAGGAAGGTCTCTGATACAGAAATTAAACCAAAATGAGGAGAAGGTGAAGTATAATATATGTATAGAACCAGAAGGAAAGAACCAACAACAACTTGGTTGAGATTATTATACCTTGCAATCCTTCCAAACTATTTTGAGTTTGCTATACTGCAGGTCTAAAGCAACTAGTTTTGGTTGCATAGGAAAGTCATCTGGTATGGACTCTAAAGGGAATCGATGCCAGCACAACCATATTAACTTTTTGGGAAAATCTGTGTACTCTCCAGTGAGCTCTACGTTGCTGAGGTGGAGTAACCTCAGTTTTTTCATCTTGGTAAATGCTTGTGTACTAAATCTAGTCAAATCTAGATCCAAATCCCAAAGTAGAGGACATCTTTTTAGCCAATCTGGAGCATCACTTTTTTGGCAACCTAGAGCAACTCCTTCAATTTCTTCACTTCCCTGTTAACATAAGATACCGAGTTAGCAAAATGATTTACAAACATGAAAATCCGTGTATATATTAACCAAAAGGTATAATTAATAGTATTGGACTATGTTATGCTCTATAGTTTGTGTTTGCAATCAAAACACATATTTTTTGTTGGATATGCCTACTTGACCACGCCTTTAATATTATACAAATTTATAAATAAACCCAATCCTAGACATGTATTTATAAAAAAACCCTAACACTATTTAAACATAAAAACACACCCAAACTCAACCCCAAAATCAACAATTGTATTTTTTTGGGTGTGTTTATAAATGGGTTTTGAGTGTGTGTAATGATGGGTTTTGGGTGTGTTTATAAAGTGTTTTGGGTGTTGGGTTTTTTTATAATTTTAGCCCCATTTTGGGTGTTTTAGTGAAACCCCCTTAATATTAGCTGTTGGATCTGCAATGTTTCATGCTCTTGCCCACTCATGATACTTTCACTTCTTGGAAAGTACATGCATTGGGCCCACAAAAAAATTTGGCCTAGGCCAAAGCTGGGCTACATTTGGCCTAATCGGAGTGCTAAAGGGCCAAATGCGGCCACTGGAGATGGGTTTTGCACTATTTTAGGGCTATATTTGGCCATGACCCATGGTTAGAGATGGTCTAAGGTCTCATGTTGAAATTCATATGGCACCTTGGTAGTATGGATGTGTGAGAACCCCCATCTTTTACTTTGGTTTAGACTATTGCTTGTACTAAACAAAACAAAAAAGAAATGAAAAAGGACATTTTAATTATTATAGACATGGGATACATATGCTTCTCTTGCATGATGCATTCTAAAATTTAATTGGGCTTACAGATTCATGGCTCAATACATTTGTTGCGTCTTCACGTTTCCACAATCTACTACAGTTTTCAGGGTGACCGCAGGCATTTTCACGAACGATCTCTCTTCCCATGTCTTGAAGCAAATCATGCATCATCAGCTTGTTTTCCTCACTAACAGTTACAAAGCACCGTTCAATGAGGACACTAATTCCTATCGTTGCAAAAAAGCCACATCCATCTAATATTTGTGTTACATAGTCCTTGTCCATTCCTATAAGGAAACAAGATATATCAAGGAATATCTCTCTCTTTGTATCATCAGGTAGCCCGTCAAAGCTTATTCTGAGCATTTTTTGAATATCTCCATCAGGACTTCTTTCCAATTTCTCCAAATGGCTTTCCCACTCCGCTATGGATCTTTTAATCAGAAAAGACCCTACAATTTGAAGCTCTAGAGGCAAGCCTTGACAGTAACGAAGTACACGTTTTGAGAGGTCAAGATATTCTTGATTAGCACAACCACTTTTAAAGGCATGCCAACCAAAGAGCTCTAGAGCTTCTTTTTCATCCATTTCTTCAGCCATATATGTGCCATCCACTCCAATTTGCTCTAGCAAATGTTTATCTCTTGTTGTTATAATAATTCTACTTCCAGGACCAAACCAATCACGTTTTCTAGCTATTGCTTTTAGCTTTTGTACTTCATCTACATCGTCAATTATGACAAGTGCTCTTTTACAGTGAAGTCTTTCTTGCATCACAGTGATCCCTACATCAACAGAATCAACCTTTATGGGATCCTTGCTTTTCAAGATATCATTTAGAAGTTTTTCTTGCAAACCAACCAGACCAGTAATGGGTTGGTTTGCAATTACTTCCCTCACGTTTGCAAGGAAACTCCTACCTTCAAAGCTACCTTCAAATTTGTTATAAATGGCTTTGGCAAGCGTTGTTTTCCCAATGCCGCCCATCCCCAAAATACCAATCATGCGAACAACATCCTTAGAACCTGAATTTTCAATATCAATCATGCGAACAACATCGTTCACCCGAGAGGTAATTCCAACAAGGCGTTCGATGTCTAATTGGCATTTGCTGTACAACTGCTTATTAACCTCCCCAAGAATTTTCTTGATAAACTTTGCTTCATGCCTGGCAATTAAACACAGAAGCAGAACTACGAATCATTCGATGTGGAACAAATTACAAGGTTAAATTGAATCCTAACTTAATAATTTAGAATGACCAAATAATTTATATAATTAACAATTAAGATTGGGATTTAACATCAAATGTTAAATGGATCTTAAATTATCAAGTAAGAAAGAATGCATAGTTAAAACATATTTGGAAAAGCGAAAACAAAAACAAAAAGGACAGAAAACATTTTTAAGGAGATGATAATCCAAGGAACAAGTAATTCGTAATTACCCATTGTCAGCATTTTTAAGATCTTCCCCACACAAATCTGCAGCTTGAGTGAGAGCATGAGTTTCTATTTAAACCCATTTGTTTTCTTTCACCCCACCAATGTGGGATTCCAACACTCCCCCTCACGTGTAATCACACGTGAAGATCCACACATCGGCAATTGAAACTCAGAGGTCGGCTCTCGTTGGGCCCACTTGTTTTCAATGGAACTCAGAGGTCGGCTCTTTTCAAGCTTCGTTGGCATTTTTAAGAGTCCGACTTGTTTCTCTTTCTTTTTTTTTTTTTTTAAATTTTATTTTTATGACAAGCGTCGTTAGCTTGTACGAACCTGGCTCTGATACCATGTTGAAAATTTGGATCTGCCCGTTGGGTCCCACTCTAACAACACCGATACTGTCCCCACTTTACCACCCGCCCAATCCGTCAGGTGTGAGGTTTTTTATCACAAAAGGCCTCGATATTAGTTAGAGTGTGGTAATTCTATTTAAACCCATTTGTTTTCTTTCACCCCACCGATGTGGGATTCCAACACTCCCCCTCACGTGTAATCACACGTGAAGATCCACACATCGGCAATTGAAACTCAGAGGTCGGCTCTCGTTGGGCCCACTTGTTTTCAATGGAACTCAGAGGTCGGCTCTTTTCAAGCTTCGTTGGCATTTTTAAGATAATTCTGTCCAGAGATGTGCAATTTGATGAAAATGGCTTATGGAAGTGGGAAAATACAAATGAAGAAGAGATGGTAGTCCCTTTGCCTACTGAGAATCAAAGCTGTGAACCAAGTCAAAGCTTGGATACATCACTGCAAATGAATGAAGAAGTCACATTACGAGCTGAACCAAGTCAAAGCTTGGATACACAAACTCAAATAGTTGAAGATACCACTCTGCAAGATGAAGGCAT